GTTGCCCGGGAGCGGGTCGCACACGCAAAAGCGCTCGGCAATTGCCCTGGCGACGTACCCAGTCTTTGCGCAATGCGGGGCGTAAGTACATCAGGATTGCCACAGCGGGTGCGATCGCGCAACATGGGCGCGCGCGATGCTGCGAGCAGCAATCGGAAGGCTCGCAGGTCCCAGATCAATATATATATATATATATATATATATATGGGCGTCGCAATTGTTACTAACGCAGTCCCCCACAGGAACGGCGTTGCCCCGCTCAAACCCCCGCGGCGCCTCACTCCGCCGGACACGGCGGCAGCCCTCGAGAGCGGCGACAGCGTCGCAGATCGCAGCCCCCCAGGGACGGCGAGGTCCCGCCCAGGCCCCCGCGGTGCCTCAGTCGGCACTTCCTCAACCGTCAAAGGAGGAAGGCCCCCTCGCGAGCCGCATCCCGGGTCCGAAAACCAACCTCGAAGCAATTCGACATCGGCATGCTGCCGTGATCGCCAACGGTCGAAAGATCGAGCCACTGCGTGGCCTTTTTACCTTCCACATCGATCGGATGAACTATAGCGCCAGCTGATCCCCTATCGAGTTCGCAACTTGCCTGCGGGGCTGGCCTGGTCGGGAAAAAGTTGACCAGTGTTTTCAATCGTCCGCGACCCACTGGTTGAAATCCCGCCGGGATCCATTGATGGCCTCGGCGTGGGCGCGACTGCTGATCGACTGCACCTCGGCGCAAGCCGCTTCCAAAACTATCGAGAATCCGACCGCCGAGGCGCCGATAGGGGGCCCTTCCATTGAGGGCAAGCGATGGCAACTGGCAGCTGGCAGCGCGCCCACGCACGCGCGCGCGGCGTCCGGAAAATGCCCGGCTAACTTGAGCGCGGCCGCCGCCGAGGCCGCGACCCGCTCGCGGCCGTTCTGCCGGGCAGCGCGGCGCGTGGCCTGGCGAGTCAGCGCGAGCACCCTCGCCCACCAGTTGTCTGCTGCATCGTGGAGAAGCACGCCCCTGAAATGGGCGCTGCCCTGCGCTCTGCGAACCTCGAGTCGGGGACCTGCTGCGCGAGCGGGCTTGCCATGGCCCATGTCTCGACCGCCAGATGCGCTGTTAACCGAGTCGACCAGCCAGCACATGCCCGCGGACTGGCAATATAGATTCGCCCCCAGCACTGAAAGCCACAGAATCGCAGACGGGGCGCTGCGCATTGCGCCCCGCGCGAACGCGCCGGCCAGAACTGGTTCGAGCCACATGCCACATGGGGGCAAGGATGGGGGAAGACGGACCCGCAGCAACATTCGCAGAGGAGGTGGAAAAGTCGGGAGCGACCCTGCCCTGTCCGGGAGGGGTCGGGGACTCGCTCAGGGGGTGCATAAATCGCCCCCCGAAGATGGATCGCCCGCGCCAGGGGGAATCGCGGCTGGACCCACCCGCTGAGAGCTAACGGGCAGACTTTTCCTCGACGGAGCGCGCGGCGACCTGCCGGGGAAAATCGGACTCGTCAGCCCGCGGATCGATCTCGCCCTCGCCCCAGGGGTCGCCCGAGGTGACTGACGTCCGCGGGGGTAGCGGGAAGCGATGCATTCGGGGTGGAAAGGGCCCCGCTCCGGGCGGCGGGCGGCCCTCCGGCGGCATCGGGCCCCCGACCCCAGAGATCGCCGACAAGTTTCGCAGCGAGCTCCGCTTGTTCTGGACACGAGAGGGCCCCTGCTCTGAACTAGTTCCAGCGCGGCACGAGAAGACTTGCCGCCCGCCAGGGGCCACCCGGGGACGTCGCGCGCGCGGGAACCTCTCGGCAAGGCGAAGCGAACGAATGATAAGATGGGCCTCCGAGCCTCGGGGCGGCAGGGGCTAGACGCATGCTCGGCCGCCGGGGCGTATCTAACACGGGGCGCGGCCCCAAGATGCAGGGGGCGGCGGCGAAAGACGCGAAAGCAAAATAGATGTGCGACGCCCCCTGGGCACTGCTACACGTAGACTCGACGGGGGGGCCAACGCCGCGGCCCCGAAATTCTCGACGCACCCCGCAGAGACGAGGGTCGGGGCAGGGATGTGAAAGCCGCGATCGCAACCCAGGGGAGCTGCAACGTTCGCAACATACTACCGAGTCCGGTCAATTCTCCCCCGCGCACCCCCGCGAGCGATGGCCGCAACGAACCGCGACGACTAGGCCGCAGACCTGTCGATGAATCACACGGGCAAGAACCCATCCAACATGTCTATCTAATCCACCTGAACGCAGCCCACCTCGCCCACCGAGATGCTGAGTGAGATGGTAAACTTGACGGCAGCCTCGAGAACGGGAGACCTCCCCCCCCCTTTGCCCGCAGGGTACCAGAAGCCGTCGAACGCGATTTGCCTGCAGGCCTGGCTGGAGCGCGCAAGGCCTTGTACTTCGCCGTCCTGAACTTGGACGCCCACTGCTTCAATGCACCTGCTCCCGCATGGGATTCACAAAGACCGAAGTACTGGAACACCGCATGCCCATGCAGCTCCTGGATGTAGCTCCAGGAATTGTTGGCGAGGATAAAAATGTTACCGATCAGATGCGTGACGGCATCGCCCCCGCGCGGCGCGCTGGTCGCCGCCGTCGGCAACGAACGGGCTCTGCTGGAATATGGCCCAAAGGACTGCCTTGACACACCGACCTCGGCCTGGAGCGCTGCCCCCGACCGCTAAGCTGCAAACGTCGGGGGCTGGCGCCATCGCTTAACTGCCCGCTGCGCCGCCGTCGGCGGCGTTCGCGGCCCCATCTGCGCCAGTGGCTCTGGCCGCCGCCGCCGCCTGCGCGGCCGCCTTGGCAGCCGCCTCCTTCGCCGCCCTGATGCGCTCGTCCTCGCGGACGATCACCTCGCCCTTATCATTATCCTGCTGCGGCGTTGCCGCCGCGGGCGAAACGCTGCATCCTTCTGCCTGGCTGGTCAGCTGTAGCGCCTCCCTCGTTGCCCTCCTCGCCTTGGCCACGCGATGGTTCAGGGCCTTCTTCATGGCCGTGGCACGACCCCTCCAAGCTTCAACCTGGTCGCCCTTGGCGTTGACCCGGTCGCGCGCCGACTGAAACTCGCCATGCCGCTGTTTGAGCCCCTCTCGTTCGGCAGGCTCGTGCTCGAACTGTCCCTTTCCACTTGCTCGAAGCACTCCTCGTCCCACCAGGATTCGGCGATGGCTGGTTTGTCGGCGGGTGGTGGTGCGGCAGCAAATACATCACGCTGGAAGTACTGCTGCCTCCAGCGCTTTGGCTGCCACTCTCCGCGAGATCTCAGCCTCTGACAACATACGCATCGCATCATTTTTCTTTTTCCAAGGCACGGACAACCCGTTCACGAACTTCGAGGACGTGCTGGCGAGCCTGCTCGCACTTGAAATTTGCGGTTGTCCACGCCCCCTCGGCCCCCCTGACGGCCTCCCCAGGAGATGCGGCCGCCTCGGACTTGGACTCGCCCTTTTCTATGAGCTGCAACTGTGCCGGGAGCGCCTGCATCACGACAAAGCCTCGACACGGACGACTCCGCCAGCGAGACCGACCAGGAGGACTTCGAGGCACAGGACGCCCTGCTCGACGCCGTCCGCGACGCCGTCACCCACGCCAAACGCCACAACGTGCCGCTGCGGGTGGTGCGGGCGGACCCGGGGGACTCTGACAGCGAGCGCGACCAGGCCAATCCATAGCAGAACTGGCGGACCTGGACAGAACGCGCAGCGAGGGAATTCCTCGGATTCGACTCTGCCAGCGAGACCGATCAGGAAGACCTCGGGAAGCAGGACACCCTGCCCGACGCCACCCCCGACGCCGAGCGTCACAGCATGCCGATGCGGGCGGTGTGGGCGGACTCGGAGGGATCCGAGGGCGAGTACGAGGAGGAGTGGGAGCGGATGCGCGGCCGCGATGGGGCCAAGGTGACCACTACGAGCCACCTCCCCGCGACCCGAGCAGCCCGCCCCCGCCGAGGCGTGGCAGACCGCAGAGCGGCGAGGCCAGCCACCGGGCAGCGCGGCCAGCAGCAGCCGGCGCAGCAAGCGACCAAGCAGCGCGGCCAGTCGGGGCGTCCTCCATGCTCCAGAGCGAGGCGCCTGGCCGTCCGTCCCCTGGCAGACTAAAGAGCCCCGCAGCTGATTCTTCGTCTCACGCCGCCCCCGTCCTGACGGGGTTTTCTGCAAGCGATCCCGCCCCCGGGCAAGTGGGAGCATAATTTCCAGCAGTTGTTCCGAAGCAGCTCCTCAGCGGCTTCCACCCTGAGCGGATCTTCATCCACGGTTCTCAATCCATGTTCGGTTATTCCCTTCACCTTGCCCCCTGACGTGGACCCCAGCATGGACGTGATCATCTCCTGGAGGTTCGGTTCCTTGCCCTTGCCCTTACACTGACTCTTGCCATTGCCGAGCTCGACCTGTTTGAGCTGCACGCGCGAGGCGGGGTCATCGGCGCGTCGCTCGCCCTCAGGAGGCCCTCGGCGGCCTGCAGCGGCCATCGGCGGCGTAGCCAGAGCAACGCGCGGAGAGGGGGCAAGGGAGACAGCCCTCACCCATCTGGCGGGCGACGACAAGAACGGCGACGACGAAGGAAGGGAGCGACGAGGAGGGGGGAGGGGGGAGATGAAGGAGGAGGGAGGACACACCTACATGTCCGAGCGCGCCGAACGAGGGAAAACAGGACAGGCAGTGGAAGTGAAAAGGAGAGAGGAAGGTGGGGTGAGGAAGAGGAGGGAGGAGGGAGGAGGAGAAGGAGGACGACGAAGAGGAGGACGAGAAGGAGGAGGGAAGAGGAGGGAGGCAGAAGGAAGAGGAGGAAGACGAGGGAGGAGGAGGGAGGAGGGATGAGGAAGGAGGAAGGATGGAAGAGGAGGAGGGAGAGGAAGGAGGAGGGAAGGGGAGGCAGAGGAGGAGGGAGGAGGAGGGAGACGAACGGAGGCAGAAGGAGGTAGGAGGAGGAGGGAGGAGGGGAGAGGCGAAAGGATGAGGAAAGGCTGGGGACGGAGGCACTGCGGCAAGCAAAACGGTGGGCGTGCCCGGGGGCGACCTCGGGAACCAGTCGCACAGTGCCGCGGTGGGCCTCCGCGGCGCGCCAGCGCGCGGGCCTCTCCGTCCTCATCTCCCCTTCCTAATCGTCCTTTTCCTCCTCCTCTTCCTGCTACTCCTCCACTTCCTCGACCTCCTCCTCCTCCTGCTGCGCCTCCTCCTCTTCCACTTCCTCGACCTCCTCCTTCCCTCCTCCTCCTCCTAATCCTCCTCCTCCTTCTCCTCCTCCTCCTCCTCCTCACCACCACCACCACCACCACCACCACCACCACCACCACCATCATCATCATCATCATCATCATCATCATCATCATCATCATCATCATCATCATCATCATCATCATCATCATCATCATCAGCAGCATCATCAGCATC